TTTGTGCCGGTAGCAGCCAGGAGAACCTAAAAGTGTTCCCCCCGCCGGAAAACTTCCAAGTGCTTACACTTCATCCAACGTAAATGTGTATCAATTCCATAAGCAGTTAATTAAACTGTACTAGAAACATGACGGAGGCAAGCTTATTTGTATCCAGAAGGCTGGGTCGGTATAGGGCTCCACAAAATGAAACATACATATATTGTACGCATGCGTGTGTGTGTGTGTCGACCTGCGAAGACCCCTTAAAATATAACACACAATGACAATGGCAACAAGGGTCACAACTAACTTCACGAAGTTGAGTCCTCCTTGAGAAGCTGCCAGTCTCTCAGTTACTCAAGAATTTCCCAGCATTTTATAGAACCCGAAAGTTCAGTACCATATTCACAAGAGCCCTCCGTTGGTTCCTATCTTCAACCACATCAGCCCACTCCAGACCACCCCATCGAATCTCTGACATTCATTTATTATTATTCACTCGCTTGTGTCTTTGTCTTTCTAGTGATCTCTTTCCTTCTGTCTTTCTCACCAAAATCCTATATGCATTCCTCTTTTCTCCATTCGTGCAACATGTCCTGCCCAGTTCATTCTCCGTTACTTCAATATTCTAATTTTACTTGGAGAAGAGTATAAGTTATGAAGCTCCTCATTATGCAGTTTTCTCCAGTCTCCTGTCACTTTATCTCTCTTCAGTCCAAATATTCTCAACACCCTGTACTCAAGCATCCTCAGTCTATGTTCCTCCCTTATGATCAGAGACCAAGCTTCATAACCATACAGAACGACAGGCAAAATTACAGTTTTATATATTCCAATTTTTATGTTTTTGGACAGCAAACAAGAAGACAAAAGGTTCTGGACTGTATGGTAGCAAGCATTACCCGAGTTCAATCTTCTCTTAATTTCCTCCTGAATCAGGTTTTGATTTGTCATTGTTATTCCCAAATATATGAACTGTGCCACATTTTCAAAACACCGATAGCTCTCTTTATGTCACGATTTTACCCTGCATTCTGGTGAGGAGACAGCAACATATACTTAGTTCTCTCTGTTTACATCTAGACCAACCTCCTTACTAGCGTCAGTTAGAACTTGTGTGTTTCTCTTTATGGAGTCTATGTTATTTGTCAATAGATTCACATCATCAGCAGAGACTAGCAGCTGATGTGTCCCATTTAATTGCAGTCCCACCTGGTGTTCCTGGACCTTCCTATCGCACATTCTAAGAGTAAAAGAAAGTTGAAAAGCGTTGGCGATAAAGCATTTTGGGGCGCTCGTCACCATGGCATGGCTTGTCCTGGGGTTGCGGATGGAGGAGACGGCCTCTAGGTATGGACGTTAGCTGCGAATATATTGAATAAGCAGTCCCTTACAGCCAATAGGGGTGTTCTTTTAGCTTGGTGGTGGGACGTGGAGTGACACCTCAATTTCAAAAATAATGTTTTACGAAATGTTACACAGGGCCTCAGACCTGGACTGATTCCTTAGATAAGAGCAATTACGATAATAATAATAAGCAGAAGATAAGGACAAATTTCTACCGAGCTAAATTTAGCATCAGAAGGCACAACCTCAAAGTCGGCACAAATTTGAGGTGAGTGGTTGGCTCCACGTCACGGTATTTTCATTACCTGGTGATAGAGCTCCAGAAACCCTTTGATTAGAGGGCTGAATGGACCCCAGGGCCGATCTGGTTATTTTCGAAAAGACTGAGGTATTTCCCCTTGCCGGAAATCGAATCTGGACTCCTCGGTCATCCATTCCGTAGCCTAGCCACTATACGAATTAGGGATTCCGGTACAAATGAAGTAATAATAATAATAATAATAATAATAAATATGGGAGCCTTGACGTCTCACAATCCTATGGGCGTCCACGGCCTGTTACAGGGATAGCTTTACCTTCTTTCTATGACTTCCTCTATCAATAATAATGGGGTTACTAACAGCTAGAAAGCAATAACCCGAAGTTAAAAAAATTAGGCCCATGTTGGCATGTGTGATGATCATGATGATGATGATGACAGTAACAACAACAACACTGCTACGAATAGTAGTGGTAACAACAGCAGCAGCGATATGTTACATTCAAATTGGGGAGGGGGGATACTGACAAGCAGGTCCCAAGGGAATGCACTTAGCTGAATATTATTGACTCCGTTCCCAAGTGACTAGCGCTCTTTGCAGTGTTTTAGTGATCACATAATTCTCATGCGGGTATAACGAATTGCACGTTAAGGTCCATAATCTTCGTGGTTTGTTGTGGGATAAATGTAAGTTTCCCAAGTAAATGTATAAATATTGTATAGTTGTTCATGTTCCTCCGGGGTTGAGTGAGGCTAGAAGTGATTATAGCCGAGATTCCTTCATGATGTGGTTTTGTTTATGAACACTAAGATTCATCAACTGCAAGGAAGTTTGAGGCAGTTAATGAATAACTGCAAGCGAAAGAAGCCAGACGGATCTGGAGACCATTGCATGATTTGTTTTCGCGCCAAATTCTATTACGGTGACGAAATCAAGGAGGGGGAGACGTGCAGGACAGGTTAAGTGAGTACAGGGGTTATGCCAAAACCTGAATGGAAGAGATCACACTTGGAACAATGAGCCTAGATGGGAAGATAATATTAAAAAGGAAGTTACAGAAATAAGGTGTGGGATAGGAGTGCATTCATTTGGCTAATAACAGGAATCGTTTGAGAACACTTGTGAACATGGTAATAAGCCTTCGGGTTCAATAAAATACCGGACATTTATTTACCGGTTTAGAAACCATTAGGTTCTGTAGAAGAACTGTGCTCCGTGCAGTTTGGTCGTTCTAGAGAAAAAAGTGTACATTTTAGCGTTTAGAATACAGTCATGAGCAGTCATGAGACTGGACTGGGTGGGGGCTGCCGTAAAACTTCTACACTGCGTCCCACGCAAGGAAGAGGCAATGGACAGAATCGCTGTCAGGGTTCCGGGAATCACGCTTCATTTCACGGGCATGTGGTGTGTGCCGTTTGCTTGCTCACTGCAACCATACCCTCTGATCGCATGTAATTACACACGCCTAATGAACTATTCGCAGTTCTAACGCAGTTGATATGCTAGCTGGAAGTCTGTCACTTGAAGAGAGACATATGTTTGCATTTAGACAAATGTTTTAATCAAAAATTCAATTTACAGAAACTGAAGCTTCTTACACTTGTAACAAATGAATATTGCATTGGGAAGGAATTTCAAGGAGATCGAACCCGCAGAATTCAGTTCGGAACCTGTGGCCTCCAGTCTGCTATCAGAAACCTGAAGAATAAAATAAAGAGTAGTGTAATTTTGCCTGAAGATTGTCTGTCGCCGGAGGAGTGAAGGTGCTTGAGATCAGATTGAGCAGAATATAGGAATTAACATGGGGCTGGAGAGAACTGCGTTATGTTTAGCTTTCCAACAAGCATTGTCAGAATGGTCAGATCAGGAAGGACGAGGCGTACCACACACGGGGAGTGTTCAGAAATGCATACGAAATTTTAGTAGGAAAACCTTAAGGGAAAATATTTCTTGAGAACCTGGAGAATTAGTTGATTCCACAGAAAGATTCTTCTCCATTTGACTATGAGAATCACATTTTAGTTATGCATTCTACTAAGTGTTGGGATCTTTACCATTAAATTTAATGTACTTCTTTTGGCTTGTTTTGGACTCCATCCATCTTCTGGTATGTAAAAGACAAAAGACCACGACGTTTCGGAGACTGGATCTGTGGTCTTTTGTCTTTTACATACCAGACGATGGATGAAGTCCAAAACAAGCCAAAAGAAGTGCAGTATACACCATCGTCAGAATCCTTTCAAGTCTATTAAATTTAATAATTACATTTTTCATATTATGAGTTATTTTTTCAAAACTTAACAAAATCTTTTATGTTCCACATTGAGGTCCTTTAAGTTTTGATAACGGTTCGTACTAACGAGAGTTACGTTTCGGAGGAACGTGCTACTTCCATCTTCAGGATATATGTGGGTTATCTGGAGAAGTGGCTGCCCAACTCACACCTTCTATCATACGCACTTAATTTCAAAGAGCGACAGATCGGCAAGTTGGGTTACAAAGAGCGGGTGTGCATGGTAGTGTAAACTGTCGTACCGCACACATGCAAGAACAGTGTGATGTGTGACCCAGCTGACATATGCGTCCATATGTATTTTTTTTTTACAATAAGTCAATAATGAGGTTGTTTTCGCGCTAAGGCCAATATAAATATTTGCAATGTAATCAGACTGAAGACAAAACTGCTGTCCATATCCAAGAATAGACCTATGTGCTCCGACATATTAGAGTCTAAACGTTCTGGATGCGAAAATCGGTGTCCATTTCAACGCCCAAAAGTCCTATTCCTCATAAACTACATGTGGGGGGAGGGGACTGTTTGACAGCTGATGCATCTACGAACTGTCAGAAGTTAGATATTATTTAAGAATTATTTTAACATAACCGCCCATCTAAGCCTGGGTCTATATCCTTTTGGACTTCTATTAATGTTTTATCTTTCCAATTAGAACTCTGTGTTTTGCACACCTCATCGTCCTTGATTTGATTACACCAGTAATATCCGTTGAAGCATTCAATTGTGAAGCTCCTCATTATGAAATTATTTTCAATATTCTCCTCACCAAACCAATTTTCAAACACCCTAAACCGCAGCTCGTCTATAAGGCGAGATACTAAGTTTCACACGCATAGAAGTTCGCTGGTAAATCAGTTTATGTATATTAATTCGGTATTTATAATTTTAGATATGACACGGGATGATAAATCTGAACTGAATGGTCGCAAGAATTACCCAATTTAAGTCTGATCTTATCTTCACCCTGAATGTAATATTTATTTCATACTGATCCTTCAAAACAGTTTGACGCTGCCAACCTTTCAGAGGGTTTATCTGCTGCCACTGTATTGTGGGGTATGAGGGGCACTTAAATTAATTTCAATTTAATCGATTGGGGCCCAGTAAATACTTACATGAACTTCAGTTGCAGCAAAAATCAGAACTACTGACAATAGAAGTCGCATCGTACTCTTAATATTACTTTTTAAATTGAATAGGGGCAGGAAGATAATCACACTCGTCACACTAGTGCTAAAGCAGTTAGCGTATCCAACCGTTTATCCTCAAGTCAAGTGCTCCTCAATCGTTCGGTCTGCTTCCTCACCCTGCTCACGCTTTCCACTACTGAGATGACTGAGATGAAGCCAGCGCCGTGCCGCGCTGCGGTAGTCTTACGAGTTACTTTGTGTCGTCAGCCTCTGCTGAAACGGCTGCAGAAACAAATTTTTATGTCGGGGGACTTTAATACCCTATTACAGAAAGATAACACTCCGGGATACAGAGTGTTGGAAAGCTATAGGCTCTAAGGGGGTACAATACTGACTTAAATGTGCAAACATTTCCAGTCAATGAATTATGTCAAGGAACAAGAGCCTGCTGCTATATTGGCCATGGTCGTGTGATCTCTACAGCAGTATGTGGTTCCCATGCACTGCAACGTAACTTTCAGCTCTTTGTGTCGCAGAGGTGTGCACTCTGTCGAAAATTCCTCGTCTCACTCGACTCTCCTGATATTTGTTGTTTCGTTATTTATAAGTCATTGATCGGCACTGAATACACCGAAGCCTTTAAGTGCCCCATAACCAAAAACTCTTGAGGATTAAGGCGAGGAGATCGTGCAGCCTAGACAATGGTCCTCTGCATCCTTTTCACTGTTACCGAAAGTCTGGTTCAGGTGCTGTCTCATAATGCTGAGAAAATGAGGTGATATCCCATCATGCGTGAATCACGTGTATTATTGTTGATAAAAGGGCACATGTTCCAACAGAAACGGTGGTGCACTGTTGTCTGTTATTCTGTTAGGTAACACAACTGTTCCTGAGAATTGATCACCCAGACTTTGATGGAAAATGGAAGCTGATATCTTGACGCCACGTTGGTGTGGGGATTCTTATCCACCCGGATGTGGATACTATGGAAGTTCTCAATACAGCCCTTTGTGAGTCCCGCCTTATCAGAAAACAGGATGTTAGCTAGAAACTGTGTGTTTGCAACGCATTTTTGCGAGAAGGGTTTGGCAAAACCACGCCCTTGCAGGAGGAGTGAGGACTTCCACTCGCTCTGTGTGTGGTGTGGCTGAAGTGACTGTTCATGGAGCATCCTCCAGACAGGGGAAACACCGATAACTTCTGCAGCTGCAATTCTTCACACGCTGGTTCCGGGGTCTTCCACTTTTCTCGTTACGGGGACTCATGTCTCAGCAGGCTCTAATTTCTGGACGTGTGTTGACTGTCAGTCTTTCGCTCATTTAAGTGCGTACTACACCCCCTAAAGCCGGTAACCCTTCTTTTTATTATGCGCCGTGCGCCGGAGTGGGCTGATGTGCAAACACGTGTTTATTTTATCCAAGCTTCATAAAGGACCGAGAAACTCTGAGTGCGGCCCCCACTTCAAATATCCGACCGAAAATTTCAAAGGATTGCTTAATGCGACTCTCTGAGATTTCACAGCGGATTTAGGTTCGGATGGGCTGAATATTGAAAATAGGCTTTCGCTATACAGAAATGTCTGAAACTTCGTCTTACAAATCTTCAGAGAGTTCTTTTTAAATTTGATTTGTTTCATTTTGGTCCGTCACACTAACAATTACAAATATAAATCACTCCGTCCAATGTGACCTGTAAGTTTATTACTACATGAAAAACATAACACCCTTACATGTTTCGGTCTCTGCGGACCATCTTCAGAGGGCAAACATCACTACACATCACTACTTTACGTCTAAACAACTTATGTGAAGGTGGTTTCCTATTTGTAGTGATGTTTGCCCTCTGAAGATGGTCCGCAGAGACCGAAACATGTAAGGGTGTTAAGTTTTTCATGTAGTAATAAACTTACAGGTCACATTGGACGGAGTGATTTATATTTGTAGTTCTTTTTATTAAATTTTAAATTCAGAATTATCCAGCCTACAAGCCAGGGTTCAAATGGTGCTGCTAAAACGTCCATAGTTTTTCAATAATGGTTTGAAATCTGCTAGTGAATAAATTTAACATTTATAATTGATTTAGACATACACAACTAGATCCATGCAGCAAGGCCATTCTTGGCAATTTAATAGACATTTGGTTGATAAATTCGCTGCATTTTATAGAAGCGGAAGACTTATTGCCGCCATTCTGAACCGTATGAATCCAGTCCTCATCCTCAAATATTTTTCTAAGATTCATTTTAATATTCCCCTTCCATCTAGATGTAAACTTACGTAGAGACTTCGGTGGTGCCACAGAATTCATCTCCACGTTCATAACAAAGCCCTTGTAATTTTGTCCCTCTGCTTAATTGTTTGGGGCACACGGTACCGTAGTTGTTTGAGGCACTATGCTACAAGCCGGAAGGACGGGGGTTCAAGTCCCGATAAGGTCATTGGATTTTTTCAATTGACCTAATCCTTCCAGTCGCACTATTGCCCTGGGTCGACTCAGCCTCTAACAGAAATGGGTACCAGGAATTAAATATTTTTTTCTGGGGAGTAAAGCGCGGACAACCTTATCGCCATCTGTGAGCCGATTGTCTAGATAATGTGGGACCCTCAACGTCTCACAACCCCATTGGCTTTCACGGCCTGTTTCATGGATAGTTTTACTTTACTTTTACAGTCTTACTGCTTAATTAATTAATCATCAGGGTGCTGAAGACGTATGGGTGAGTGGAGTTATGGCTCCACCATTCTTGAGCTCCATACTAGATTGAGGTGAGCAGTCAGCTACACTCCAAGGCCGCTTTACCCCCCAGAGAAATAACTCCCGGTACCCATTGAATAGGAGACTGGATGAATCCCAAAACTTGTCTGGACACTTTAGAGTAGAGAAAAAATTCTTGTCCCTGCCTGGAATTGTAGCCGTAAAACTTTTGTGAAGGGCGACAGACCACGCATTGGTTCGCTACTTGTAGCCGTTTTGCCTTTGTGGGGAAGTGCGCACTAGTGGATCCACGCGTTGGTACGCTACTTGTGGCCGTTTTGCCTTTGTGGGGAAGTGCGCACTGGTGGAAACACGCGTTGGTACGCTACTTGTGGACGTTTTGCCTTTGTGGGGAAGTGCGCACTGGTGGAACCACACATTGGTACGCTACTTGTTGCCATTTTGCCTTTGTGGAAAAGTGCTCACTGGTGGATCCAGGCGTTGGTACGCTGACTGCAACAATGGCTGGATAAAGTTGACCGGAGCCACTAGCAGTGATGGGTAAAGTTGGCCGGAGATGCTCGCTTTGTAGAAATGGTGGACTTAGACGCTGGCAGTAACCGTTAAAGATGGGCGCCGCCCCTTCCTGGTGAATCGCCTTTAGCGACGCAGACTCACCTTAATAGTAGTTGGGCGCCAACCCAGTCGGGGAACATGAGACAATCTCTTGGGCCGTTAAGTGGGCTTTGACTTGAACATAGATGGTCAACAAAACCGCGATAAACCCTTTTCAACACTCGCTTCATTGAAATTTACATATTACTTGTATTACATATTGTAATGCCATAGCGCTAGGGACCTGTATTGGTCCTTTGTTCTTAGACGATACATACACGATAACATCTTTACGATCCCAGAACCAGTTAGCGTCTATTGTGGACAAGGGACTTTACATATCGACATCTCAGCGTCAATATGATGTCATATTACAATTTCAGTAAGCTGATTGGTTGTTGGTGGGAAGTACCGTTGTAAAGCCCCTAGCTACCTACTCCTTGGGCTTGCATCACCCATCGTTAGACAAAGAAAGAACTAAATCGGGAGTTTCGCAAGAGCCACAAGACATTGATTCATCCCCTCTGAATACGATGGGGTACCCAAAAGAAACCGAACTAATTTTTTTGTGGGCAGAGCTTTTGTAGTACCGCGTTTTGCCGCTATGAGCGCATACAGCTAACATTCCTGAGTCGATAAGCCGACTACCGTTGCTTCAGAAGGTAAGGACTAGTTTCGGCAGAGTTTATAGTGACAACTGTTTTGTGTGATCGTCATTTTTGCAATGGCTGATTTTCGAAAACAGCGTGCGGCCATGAAATTCTGCTTTTTGCTAGGGAAAAGTGGAACAGAAACTCTTGAAATGTTAAAAACGGCGTACAAGGACGATGCTATGGGGAAAACTCAAGTGTTTGAGTGGTTTTCCCGTTTCAAAAATGGTGAAATGTCAATTGATGACAAACCTCGTTCTGGTCGTCCTTCCACGGCCCGAACACATGAAAATGTTGAAAAAATTCGTGAAATCATCAAGGAAGATCGACGACGGACCATTGAAGAAATTGTGGAGCTGTCGGGAGTGACTTGGAGCTCAGCGGCCAGATTTGTGGCAGTCGGGTGACTGGTTTTTCCATCATGACAATGCCCCTGCTCACACAGCCCTGTCTGTACGACAATTCTTGACCAAAAATGGTATGACCCCTGTTCCTCACCCTCCATACACACCCGACCTTGCCCCGTGCGAATTTTTTTTTTGTTTCCACGAATGAAAAGAGACATGAAAGGAAAAAACGACGGAGGCGCTGTCAAGTATCTCAATAGATGAATTTAGACAATGTTTTGAAAAATGGAATAAAAGACTAGACAAGTGTATTAGTGTAAGTGGAGAGTACTTTGAATAAAATTTGAATAAATAAGTTAAAAAAAATAAGTTCGGTTTCTTTTGGGTACCCCCTCGTATATAGCTCACGGCAATTTATAGTGCGTAGTAATGTACGCAATTTGCCCAAACTCGTAATTTAAGTTCTGTGAAAATACAAAAGTTAGTAATAAAGGTATGCATAAATTAGGGCAAGTATATTACTAAAAAGGAGTAATCGTTTACAGAATCGAACCCCAGCCGTATAGTACGTAGCCAATCGCAATATGACTGAGCTATCCCAGCTCTCAGATGCTGTGTAATATTTTGTAAAAATATTCTTTTTATTATGAGAGAGTTGAGAGTTCTGTTTATTCAGTATACACATTTATAGCCTCCCCCTCCCCCCAACAGTATCAGAATGCCTTCTCTTTCAACCACTGCCAGACCCTCAAACATCAATACCTCGATGACGTAACAAGCATACAGCGGGGAATCCGAAATGTCGGGTTGCTGAAAAGTTGTCGGTTGGGGTGTAAGGAGGACAATACTGTCATTACGTTCAGTGCGGCTGAGAA